CCCTGAGCCTCGCTATTCTGGACAGAACCCGCCCGTTACCCGTTCGAAATTTAAAATCATGCAGTATAGCGGGTAGCACTCTTGATCCATCTTTCCTTTCACTTTTGTGTTTAAAGGAACAGAAAGTCGTCCCCACCTCTCAAAACTCCTTCTATTTAAAGGTGCTTTCAGTAGAGCATAGGTATATTTCCTCTCCACTCCGCTCTGAGCTGGTTGTACGCGACTGTCAATTTTTGTGATTATTGACAAGCTTCAAATGTTTTTTATTTTCATCAAAGCTGTCCATGTTGTCTCGAGTTACCGAAATCGCTTTCGTACCATAGAACTTCCTCCTATTGGGAAGTCGAGTTGCCTTGTGGTAGCAGCACATATCTTGCTGTTTTCGCACGTACCTCACGTACCTCATCTCAAAGCTTGACACTTCAGTAATATTCACCTCCTGGTGACGAGACCATTTCATATTTAATGCAAGCTTAACTACTATTCTGCCTGATTTATTCACCCACAGATCTTTGGTAGCGCACCATCCGAATCCACCGACTATCCTTTCTCCTCTACGGCTACAAATGCCAATAATGGAGGTATTGGTAGCAGCGGTGGAACCAAGAAAATCCCTCCCCCTCGGCCTCCTAATCAGCCCAATGTTAACAAGACTGTAAGTTCCAGAGTAGAAGATGGATCATTCTGAAAGAGGGAGACAATCATTAAAATTGATTGTAGCTATTACAGAAAGCCAGTAGCGTGGCAGAACCTTCGTCTCGCCATGTTGATTCTCCGAAAAGTCGATTCCGCGGCGCTTTCGACAAGATCGGAGGCAATGAAACTTCCTCACGGGGACGCGGCGCATTCCGCATTGCTAGTGGTGGAAGTGGTGGGAGAGACGCAGCAACGGCTGCGGCCTCAATGAATGAGGCAGAACAAATACGTTGGGCTACTCGTGAGAGCCGACGAGCGGCACAACAGGAGGAAAAACTACGTGCTCAAGAAGAGGCCGATTTGGAATTGGCTCTGCGGCTCTCGCGTCTTGAGGCGTTGGCTCGCGGAACGAATTAAGGGATGTCTTGTGTCGGGAATTTACCAAATTATTAATATTGTTATTTGTAACTTGAGGCACACTTGAGTGTGTATTTGATTCGCACTGACTGGTCAGACACATTGGAATCTTATTCCCCTTCGGAATCTTATCACTATATGGCTCCTCTATCCGCCTCAATCTGCCTCCACTTACTCCTTTAGATGATGGTAATTTGATGGATTTTGTTGCCAAATCTCTCTCAGTCTTGGGGTCAGAACGTACTGCGTGCGAAAAGAGACTTTGTGGCACAAAAATCTGTCACAGTAACATCACGAATTGACGTGGTGCAGTCATGGGTTCGATATCAGTGTCTGCTACACACCAAGTTGTTAACATTGTGCTTTCGTGCTGATGGGGTTCTATGCCTAGTGCGATAAGACGATGTGTGCTTATTCGCATTTGTTAATAAAATAAAGGGTCATTTCACAAATTTAGGTTTACAGTGGTATTGGATGGGTGGCTGTTGTTCGACTTCTTTAAACATTGAAGTAAGCGTTTTTTTACTACTAAAGGTGCAAAAGGCTCTTTTTTTCGTCCTGGTTTCTTTAACAATAAGACCATTGTAACAAAATTTCGGTGTGACGTATATTAATCGGTCGAAAATGCAAATCCTGTACGGAATGCAAGGTGTTCGAATAGCTACCAACCCTATGA